GAGGAAGGGGGCCCCCCCCCCCCCCCCCCCCTTTTCCTTGGCATGATCGGGTTTTATTTTCAGTTAACAAAGATGTTGTAATTGAGCTTAACCAGCTATAGTTTACATCCTTGTCTCTGCTGCTGGAGTTGCTTGGGGCATGACAAATAACTGCTGCCATCCTCCACAGCTGCAGTTTGCTCAGCCCTCTTGTGATGGGCCTGCCTTCCTGCCCAGAAAATGAAATGTTCAAAGCCTGGGAGCGATCCACTTAGCTGCGTGGAGCGATCATTAAAAGAGAAGTGTGGTAAGGGAAGTAGTCTGATAACGATTTTTTTACAGGCTGTGGGGAACTGTGCTGTGCAGGGAGGCAGTGAGTGGAACAGGGCTGGCTGCTGACACTCTGAGATGTGACACTTGTGAGCGTCATGTAGATCCATGGTGTAAGGTGCCCAGTTGCTTTCAACAGCCAGCTCCTGCCAAGCATGTGCATAGTGAGAAAAGGTGGAAAGAAGGTGGGACTTTCATTGCTCCTTCTCTCTCTAAGGAGGTCTCTGCATGGCTTTCTGTGTTTGAGGACAGTCCAGCTGTTCTGGGAAGAAAAAGCCCAACCCTGTCTGGACCAGAGACTAGTGCTAAATCAGGATAAGTGTAACCACACAACATAAGGCATATTAGGGATGTGGTTTGTTTCTTGCTAGTCCAGGAGATAAACAACTGGGCTGCTATTGCCTTGTCTGCAAAAAGCATTAGACCAGTGAAGGACAAACCTCAGTCATGCTCTTCGGTACAGCAAAGTATAAGAGGTCTGACTTCATCCTGATTTGTCTGTAAGTCCTTTTTCAAACTCTGACTGTGTGGAGAAATACTCCAGAAATTATGAGTGCAAGAATAAGGGAGACTTTTTAACTTTCTTTCAGCCTTGTGAGTAAAGCCTTGCAATTCTTTCTTTGTCTCTGCTTTGCTATATCTATGTTTGAAGTCTTCTATTTTTCTCCTCTCTTTCTGCAGGTCCTTCAGAAGCTTGGGAAAGCAGATGAAACAAAAGATGAGCAGTTCGAACAGTGTGTGCAGAACTTCAACAAACAGCTGGTAAGATAATTGACGATATGTAATTACACCCTGGGTTTCAGTATTAGCTCCCAGTCATCTGCTGCAATATGCAATTAAAGCCCATTAAATTAAATGATGCCGTAGGCCTATTGAAGTGAACCACAACTCGTAGATGTTCATTTATGAGAAATTACACTGTGTCTTCCAGTGTCCCTATCATGGAGTCAGTGAGAGTGTATGCTGAAAAATAATACTTGCTCTAGACCCAAGTTTAGGATAAGAAATAGCTCAACCAGAACACTTCCTTCAGTTAGCGGCTGCTTTATAATCTAAGTTTTCCTGATGGGCTGGAAGCAGAGACATAAGAGCAACGTTGTGTCTCTGCAAGATGGATAGGATGGGAAACAGATTAGAAATCAAAAATAAAATGGAACAAGGCAGATACAGTTTCCTAAGCACAGTGGAGGGCAACAGAGACAAAGAAAGCAAATGGTGAAAAATTAACATCCTTCCATGGCTAAGATCTAAATCTAACTTCTTCCCCATCCTTGCACAATCACTATGTGAGGCCTGACATTATTCTTTCGTGTGTCTGCTTCATCCTTATATTTTAGTGCATAAAAATATTTTAATAGTGTAGCAATTTTCCCCCACCCTCCTATTTAGACAGCAGTTGGTTTATATCTTGAACTGGGTGTGGTTTTTTTATCTGGAGCTTTCAGCCACCCAGAGGAGGGGAAAATATCAGTTACCCCAGGAGATTTGCACTGTAGTACTTGGTGTTAAGGAAAGCATTGTTTCTGTTTCATGGCAGGAAATGCATGCCACACCAAAGCTCAGGTGATGCTGAAGAAATCTTTTAGCCCCTTTGTGCCCTGACATATTTAGGACCTTTTTCTGGAGCTGTTAGCAGCAGCTGCACTGTGTTTGTTAAGACTGAGCAGATGTGGTTATGTGTCGCAAAACCAGCTGAGAAGGGATTTGCCACAGCTGAATATAATGAAAATCTTTCTGTCTAACCGGGGCTGACATTCCTGGCTGATTCCTGGAGACTAATGCTCATTCTCTTGGCAGCGATAGTAGCTGTTGCTCCAGAAGTTCATGCAACATCTCTGTAGCGTGTCCACCAATGATATTTTCTTGCACACAGAAGAATACAGTTTGGCTTCTTTCTGATGACATGACACTACCAGGTGTGACTTTTCTGTATCATTTTTAAGTATTGGCAATCAGGAAACAGCCTTTTTAAAGGAGAAATACTGGAAAAACTCAAATCCAAACTTCTTGATCTGACTGTCTGGGATGGCTTTTCAATTTCCAAAGCCACGAGTTCCAGTGGTGCACCAAGAAGCCTGTTAAAGAAGTACTGCCTCTGTACCCCTTACAGCTGAATTTCTTTCCCCATCTTGCAGGGGCAGGCCATGAACTAAATTCTCCAAATAATTTATCAAAGGAGCTGGAGACTGCTCTGTATTTGCTGTTTGGGGTCTGCTGGTTTTGCTTTGGCCCTCAGTTTCCCTGTTGCTGAAATAAATGCAAACAATGCCTGTTTTACAGGGCAAACCATAGATGTGAGTTAGCTGGATTGTTAGGATATTCAGGGCTGAGGAGTTGCTATGATGCCAAGCAGACTGGGGAAATAACTTCAACTATACACATATGCATATATACACACTTGTTTCTGTATGTATGATATGTGTGTGTAGTATAGCTATGTGTGAGAGATTTCTGTGGCCTTTCCTTACAAAGTCTGTTCCAGTGGGAAATGTAAGCCTGCAGGACAACTGATCTTTTTCTGCAGGCTTGTGACAGAACAGCTCTCCTGTGGAAGTGGAGTGGGCTGGGGTGCGACCAGGCAGTGGCCTTGTTTGCCTCTTGATTAGCAGCTCCTCTGACTCTAATGACTGTGTTGGGCCACTTTGACACATGTTCCCATGCGTGGACTGTTGATGAATGGAGAGCAGGTCTAAAAATCACTTACTCATTTTCAACCAAGGTGTCTTCTTGTTCTCTCAAATGGTGGTTGAGCGGGCATAAGAGAAAGCATTGCACTTCCCAGCTCTCTGTCTGTTCAGGTTCATGTAAGAGTACCACTCTGAGGTCTCTGAATGGTAGGAGCTTTTTAGCTCAGACAGATGGATTTGCTGCGTGACAAATGAGCTGGATATAACCATGCTTCTGCAGGGCTACAGGGCTCACCTGTGTCTTTTGAATGTTTAAGAAGCAGCACAACTGGCCCCCATAGTACTCCCTCATGACAGATTATCTTTGGCAATTAACCTCCCAAAAAGTTCATTCGAAGCTCCCCCCTCCTTCCCTTTCCCAATGTCACTTGTGTTCAGGCACTGGCACAAGGGTCTGTCCTGGAAATTGTCCTTGCAGACCTGGGAGCAAGAGGCCTGCTGCAAAGGTGCAACACAGCCCCTGCCTGATGTGTACCAGGCTTTGGTTTCTCTTCCCCTGCGTTTGAAATACTTGCTGGAGAGAGAGTGGGAGGCTGGTGGCAGTCCTTACACCTGGCACCATGCTGTGTTTCTGCCTGGCAGAATGGCTGGGTTTTGATACCCTTCATGAGCTGTCACTCTTGTGGAAGTTCTGGGTTGGTTTACAGTGTTTCACACCAAACGCGTGAGAGACAAGCTGCTGCTGGCACAGGCTGCATCCTTACCCCGTGCTGTTCAGCACAACCTCAGCCTGCAGGGCAGGCAGCGTGGACTTAATCTTTGCTCTTGCAGCGTAGGTTTGGCTGTGGACCATTACAGTCAGTAGCTCAGAGAGAGACTTTCTGTCCAGCCAAAAACCCTTCATGCCCAGCAGTTTCCATTTTAGCCCTATGTAGCAAAATAAGTTTAACAGCTTGCCTGGTACCCCAGGATGGGAGCTTCTCACTAGTTGTTCATGCTTTGTGTCTTAACAGCTCTAAAGTTTTGCTGAGTGGGGGCTTATCTGGAGCTCTTGTTTCAGTGCTTCCCCCCGCCTTTATAATTCCATAGTCTGCTCTTCCAGCCCTGTATTAACGTAATCTGGAACAGGACATTACCTGTCCCTTTCAGGCGTAGAACATCCCTGCTGATAATAAAAATCCTTCTCATCAGAACTACAAGACCAGGGAGTCTATGTAAACAAGGGGTTGCAGTCTAATATTAGGACAAAATAATTTCTTTTGAAGATTGGGGAAAAAAGGGATTTGGGAAACCTGTCTGCTACTAAGAAACAGCTCTACAGAAAATCACATACTTAACTAGTGCTCAGTGAAAGGTACTGTAAATAACAACCCCCCAACAAAGCAAGAAAGCACAAAAAGAAACCAAACCACTTTTGTGTTTTAATCTAACAGAGCTATAAGTAATAGGTGGTTCATTAGGTCTTTGGAGAGAGAGAGAGCTCTTCCAGCCTTCCAAGCATAGCACTTCTATTTTTGAATATGCATCTTCCTGTACATACTGTCCTTCACTGTCCTTCATCTTATAGCTGGTTGTGTTATAGGCTCACAGGGTTGAATTACACTGTGATTGCACGTGTGGCAAAATCTGCTCAAACAAGACAATACTTGTGTTTTGAGTAGAACAACTTATTGTGGTCACTTCTATCTACATCAAGACACAGTGTCATTGTCCTTGTGTGAAGGTTTTAAGTCAGTTTGTTAGTGCAGGGATGAGAAATGAATAGGGGGTTCCGGATTGGCACTGATCTTCAATTTTTGTTCTAGTTTTACTTTCCTTTGGTGGAGTTTTGTTACTCTGATATCACACACACACAGAGTTTCTTTTTTTTTTTTTTTTTTATGTTCTTGCAATTTAGAAATTACTATGCTATTAAATTCTTGAACATCTTTAGATTCAAACATACCTCTATAACTTCCCTCTGCACATGCTTAAACCTACTGTTCTTTGATAGCTGGGAAGTGGATTAATTTTTCCAGATTCTAGTTTAACTCTCTTCCCTACTTTTTTTTTTTTTTACCTCTGAGTTTAGGAAGCATCTTCTAAATGTGCACTCAAGGGTGTTGAAAGATTCTGTTCCATACAGTATTTGACAGTGTCTAACTGTGTTTTGAGAGGTGTTTATGCAGAATCATGGCTGTACTTGACAGCTCGCTGTAGCCTGCTTGAAGAAAACAGGTGCTGCATGCACAGAGAGAAAGCAGTTGCCAAAGTCTTTTGGGAAAGCATTAATGCTTAAAATAATAAAAAGAAACCCTTGTAGGAAGTGAGGGAGCTGTTTTACTGGTGGACAAGAAATAAAGCAATGGAAATGCCAAAGAAGGACTTGGATGGGAACTCCAGGTGCCCAGGGGAGCTGGGGAAATGGGATTCATGGCAAAACTTTGAACATGGGCCTCTCTGAAAATCTTTCTGCCTGCAGATCTTACAGGCTGTAAAGTCTAGTCACTCCTCCTGGCAGGCTTGGTACTTCTAAGAGACTTAGGTAACCCCATAGTCATGGAGATCAGCTGTAACTGACTTTAAACATCAGCAAGTGGTGACTAAGAAAGACCACTCCAGTTGCAGGATGCAGCACTGCATATTTGCTAACTGCACATTGTGGTGAAAGAAGTGATGTTGAGGATACCTGGAGAACGCAGAAGGCTAGCTGTGCATTGCTGCCATTGCACACTTCAGTATTCAGGTCCTGACTTGCAGGTTTTTCAGGTGGTCCATCTAAAAATCTTGATTTGATGTTTAATTGTGATGCTGGTGTACCTCTCAGAGGATCCTTTTGTCCTTGTGACTGGGTATCAAGACTTGAAGAATTCACGAGTCTGGGTTCTGTCATGTGCTGCTTTGGCAGGATTCAGACAAGTATGGGCACAACTTTAGAGGTGGTTTCTGATTTTAGATGCTATAATTTTGAGAGTTACAGTCCTGGACATTGCAGGGCCCAAGTGTGTGGTGGGCAAGGTCTGCAGAGGACCTTCCCTGCTGATTAGTTTCTGATAACCTCAAAGTTGTGTGTTCAGATTTAGTAATTTTTAAAAATGATACAGCTGCAGGATGGCAATGTATCCATCTGAGGGATTTTGCATAATTTCTTCTGTGCCATTTCCTCTTGTGTTCTGACACCTGATCTTGCCAGTTCCAGTGTGTGATTTCTAGCATGGACCAATACTAGGCAGACAGCACTGCTTTCCTCTAAGCCTTTCTTGCTTTCAAGCAAACACATGTTACAGCTTGACTGAACTGCTGCTTGTCAGCTCAGCCTCCCTGATGGCCCTCTGTTTGTGTGTTCTTTGATTACTCTGGCACCTCTTCCCTGGTGGTTTCTGATTGCACTGCTAGGAAGGTCTCATCTGCCCAGGTTTCCATATTCACCTTAAGCCAGCAAAAAGCTCTACATTTGTTTGCTCTGTGTTTTAAGAACTCCTAGGACTTTTGCAGCAGATGTGGTCATTATTCCTTTCCTCTTGTACTCCCTTTGGGTCAGTTCCCAATGCTTCTCCAGACTAAGAGTCTGACTTTCTTTTACAAAAGTGGCCAGCTCTTGCCCATCCCTCATTTCCTTTGTCAATGGCAGTAGGAAGAGAACAAATGTGAACTCATCCAGAACTTTCAAGACAAGGAAAACAAATTGGGCCATAGTGTTGGAGGCAGATGGATTTCTCCACAAAGCTATGTTAGTACTGCCACTTGAACAACTGGACAGATTTAGCTTCTGCTTAGAGAGCACAGCTGCACTGAGAGAACAAAGGATCACAGCATGAGCTCAGTTGAGGCAAGAAATGCCTGAGTGGTGGGGAGGGCTGATGAGAAACATCTGCTTTTGAAGCTAGTAGCTCTGAGGCAGCTGTCAGAGATGTCCTGTGAGCTCCCTGTCTCTGGACTTGTCTTCAGCTGTCAAAATTCATTATGCACGCCCCCCCCCCAAAATGGGACACAAACTGGGAAAGAGGATGAGGATTGGCAGCAGGCTGTGAGGAAGTTGTGAGGTGTAGTTGTTGCTTTCCTGCATCTTTGTTTTTACAGCTACTTTGGGGGATAGTGAGGATCCAGTGAGATCCCACAGGGTGAGGGAAACCCTTTTATAACAGAGATCTTTGCCTCTCGAACTTTTTCTGTACTTCTTGCATACTCCAGAGGTTGTCTGCACAAGCATCCTCAATGTTTGCTCCTTCCCTTGCTTTGACATACTCTGTGGTAGTGTTGGTCAACTTCTGAAGCCTCTTCTTCCTTTTTTTTTCTGTTTGTATAAAGTCACTGTCTGGATTTGGGAGTATTTCCCTGTCTGCTTTGCACCACTGTCAATGGCACATGGCAAGGTAGAGGGGGTAGGCCAGAGTATGCTTATCCTAGTGCAGGAGAGCAGTCCTATGGGGAGTGCATGTATGTTTCTGAACCAACTTTTTTTTTTTTTTAACAGCAAAAATCTCCATGCTGGGTTCTTGTACTGTACTCAGCTGTGTCATCTTAAGGCTCAAACTGGCAAAACTCAGTCTGGCTTCTGGTTTTAATCCTTTGTTTCCTAGTGAGTGAGATCTGCTGCTGGTAGGCCACCTCCATAGTGAAGCTAAAGAAAAAGATGATTAAGTCTGTATTTGCAAGCCCTGCTGCACAGGACAATTTAGACAGGATGTTTGGGCAGGTCAGAGGTCCCTTGTACTCACTTTACACTTGGGTTTTGGTTTGCAGTGTGGCAGGAAAAAGCGGTGAGCTAAACTGCTCCCAAACCAGTACAAAATAAATGAATGGCATCTTTCTTCTGTATCCTACAGGCTCCCTTCAGTTACATTTGTTGCATAGACCCACTAGCCCTTGGCTTATAAATGAATTGTTGCCCTTGAGACTCTCTCTAGTTGCTTGTGCAAAATCAAAAGCTGGCTCTGCTGGGAGGAGCAAATCACAGCTTTACCCACATCAAGTTACTCGGTACCTTGGTGGTATTGTTGGCCAAACATGCCTGCAGGTCACTGGCTGTGGGCTTACCAAGTCAGAGGGCTGTGTGGTCTCCCTGTTAAGATTTAAGTTTCTTGTGGTCATAGGGCTGGTGTGTAGCATCTGCAAGACCATTTTTCTTCATTTAGAAATGCTTGACTCCTTCTTACACTTACTTTATATGAGAGAATAACTGACGGTCTTCTCCTTACATTCACAGTCTGAAGGCACAAGACTGCAGAAGGACCTCCGAACTTACTTGGCTTCTGTAAAAGGTAAGGTCTGCATAAGCAGAGGAGTGTTTCCCCTCTAGTGCTTACCTACACAGTGAGGTTTCTGCAGCCATTCCCTTCCTGCTGTTTCCTCAGGCATGAGTTGTAGGAAAGGTCAGCCTTGTCTGGGTGGGGGATCTTTCAGAATCCTTCAGGACCAGCTGGGATGGAATGGGGTTGTGCTTTGATGCCAAACAGGTGGTGCTGTCTTAGCAGATAGACCCTCATATCTTCTGCTAGGGGAAGACAAACACAAAGGGTTTGATGTGACTGCATCCTCGGTTCCTTTCTCCTTCTTGTTACCTTCCATCTCTGTATTATCAAGGGTCAGACATTCTGTAAGGAAGAGTTTAGTGTTTGTTACAACCCTCCTGTTTCCCCATTCCTCAGGGTGGGGGTTAAACTGTGAGGAACACACTATTTTCTTCTTTCTGAAGCAGTTCCCTCTTCTTTCCTAGCCATGCACGAGGCTTCCAAGAAGCTGACAGAGTGTTTGCAGGAAGTTTATGAGGCGGATTGGCCTGGGAGAGATGACACAAATAAAATAGCAGAGGTAAGATTCTGTCCAGGACGTGGGGTCACCAGGATTGGTCTGTAAGTGGAGATGAGCTTTGGAAGCTGTATCTGTGTGCCACATCTCTTCAGGTGTATGACTTTGCAGAAGAATTGGAGAGACAAACTCAGCACTGGGAAGAAGGGAAAGCTGAAGGGATGTGGCCTGTATTTTTGTCTGTATAGGACACTGTTTCCAGATGCTTGAATGCTGCACAGAGCCATATGCTTATGAGTACAAGCAATTTGTTCCCCCAGCAGTGGCTAAGCATGGACAGAAGATGCCAAAAGAGAGTTAGTAGGGTCAACTGGATGTATTGCTTACGCTCTGTGCAAGAGGAAAGGGAGGCTAAATCTATGGCCAAAGCATGGTCAGAGCAGCCATTGTATAGCTGCAACAACCTCCCACTCACAGCAGTACCACCAGCTGCTGTATTTTGGTTGCCACCTTGTTTGACTGAGCCATGTGTCACCGCAACCTGCTGTTCTTCTCATCCCTTGGTGAGGTGACGCCTGTCCAACTTGCCCAGGTGCTTTCTATGGAGCTTAGGGCACAGCCTGTCATTTGACAGCTTGGATCCCCCTTGGCATCTGTGTGCGGTGGGTCCAGCTGGAGGCAGGTGCCCTCTGCTCTGTTGCTCAGCTGTTCTGCTGAGCTGCAGCTGTGGCAGTTCAGCTCTGTGGATCCATCTGCCATGAGGCTGCAGGACTGGGCTTATCTGCAGCTGTCTATGACATTGGAGCAGTGGGGAAAAAACAGAGAGGAGAGCAGGAGAGGGATTCTTCCCTTCCTCTGCTTTCCCCTGCAGAAAATCTCACCTGAAATAACATCTGCATCTTGCCCAGGAAATACTGACTTCAAAGCAGATAAATCAAACAAAACCTGAACATTTTCAGGTCAATTCTTGCACTAACATGAAAACTTTCCATTAGGAAGTGCTGTTGCAGTAAATAATGGAGTTGTAATTCAACTGGTTTGGCTTCATGTTCTCTGTTGGCCTTGTTTCTTCCCGAGCCACTGCGATGCCTCCTTGGAGACTGTCCCTTCAGAGAATTTCAGCCAGAGAGGTCAAAGGGAGCATGAGTCCTGAGAACTAACTGTAGCTACTCTGAGGGCCTGCAGGAATATTTCCAGCCCTCCACCTCCCACTTCAATGACTTTGTTTATATTTCTCTCTTTCAGAAAAAGACAGGCAGGAGAAAAGTGCTATTCCTGCCAAAAATATAACAAATTCCACATAAAGTGGGCATTTTTCCTGAATATTTTAGCCAAAACCATTTATTCAAGTGAAAAAACAGGAGAGGGGCAATTTCTGCCTAATCTACGGTGTTGATGGGAAGTTACTGTGCCTGAGATAAGATCAAAGATAAAGGGTGAACAGGTTAGGGTGCAAGCCTGGGATGTGACCTCCATTGGGCTGTGGAGGCAGGTGGTATAAGGGCTGAAGGCTCCTAGAATAGCTTTCTGTTATTGTTCATTAACCTCCAGAAAGCTGTGTTGTAGTGAAAAGCAAAATATGGTGTCTTGTGGTGTCAGGTGTCTCATTTTTTGGCTGCTGAGAGAAGAAGGGAAAGACAGCCTGACCTTCATCTTCCCTTCCATTGTATGGCCTTGGGATAGCACTGCGGGGGAAGAGACAGGCCCTCAAAGGAAGGTTCACGAAGGGCGCTGTGTCCTTGGAGAGGTCACCTGAACTAGCAGCATTAGGCTTTCTTCTCTTTCTACATTTCTGGCATGACCTCTGTTTTCAACTAATTTCTCTGCTGCTTAGTTTTTCCAAATAAATGACTATTTCTTAAGAGCTCTGGGGGACTGAAATTGTTGACTGTAGCACTCATGGAGCAAAACAGCAATGCAGAGCTCTGTGTTCTTAATAGTTAGCTCATTACTTTTGTTTTTCAGAACAATGATCTCCTCTGGACGGATTTCCATCAGAAGCTGGTGGATCAGGCACTTCTGACCATGGATACGTACCTTGGCCAATTTCCAGATATTAAAGTAAGATTCTCTTTAAACCTTTTGATCTACAGAGTCACAGCAGATGAAACCTCCTAAGAATCAATTTCTTGCATCCCCATCTTCTGTAGGAGGATGTGTGTGCTGTGCTGCTGCAAGCTCTCCTTTTAAAGATCCAAGCCAAGATCTTTGCACCTCTAGGTCATGTGAAAATGTTATGTTCTCCTTTTGGGCTTCAAATGAGAGTGAAGAATCCAGGGGAAGGATGCTGAAGAGAAAACATAACTGTGAAACAGGAGGATCCATAAAATTTCCTATTGTATCACAGTACAGGAGGGCAGCGTCAGCAGTAACTCACAAGCTCTCAGTCTCTCTTTTCAGTCCTTTGTTTTTTTTAACTTCCTTGTAAAGTACAAAGCACTGAGGAAACAGTGAGTGGCAAATGTGCTTTATAGGTAGAGGCTGGTATGGAAGTCAGATTTCTGTGTGTTGTCTGAAGTCCTGCTGTACATATAACTAGCTTTTTGTAGAGAAGGAGGAGTGCTGGATAGGTCTTTTTGGGGGAGATCGTATCCGAGGACCTGGATTTGAATGATGTCCTCTCCCTTCCCCCACAGTTATCTCTCTCCGCTCGTTTTGAGAAGGTTATGCAGGAAATGTCTTCACCATATGGAAGTGCTAGTAATGATGTCACCATATGGGAAGTATCAACTTGGCTTCTTCCCAGTGAAAACAACCCTTTCCCCACCACATGTCTCTTAAAACGTTTGTCAATATTTGTTGCTTCAGGAGGATCGTGCTTTATCAAAAGGGGGCAGGTCATAGGCTTGTAGATTGAGCCCTGAACAGCAGTGTTCTTGCCTCCTGGGGCTCCTTGTTTTTGCTTCATTTTTCCAGCCTCTTCTGTCCCTGAAATTCTGAAGTGGGGAAGGGCAAAGAGGCTTGCTGTTGCTTTCCACCCACTCAAGGCTGTAGAGCTGATCACTCCCCGTAGTGTGATGCCATGTGCCTCAGTTAGCAGCACAGAGGCTTGTGCACTGCTTCCTAAGCAGAAGGTTTTATTTCAGGCTCACTGTAGACTCAGACTTCTGCACTGCTTCAGTCCAAATCACGTTTTCCCAGCCTTGTTGGCTGTGCACTGGGTCACCTCTGAGTATCACATTTCTTCCATGCTTAGTATCTTTGGGATTTCTTAATTCTGCTGGGGTCCCACTGAGGTTTTACAGGGGGATTTTAAAAGGAGCACAAGATTGGGACCAACCAAATTCCACCAGAACGCAAGGTGTTAGGCACTGATCTCCCCTGGATCCTTTCTGTCTTCCAGATGGGTCACTAAAGTTTTTATTATTAATGTCCCTTTCCCAGTCTTCAGATGATGCTCTAGAAAATGGGAAATTAAAGCAATTTTATGCACAATTTAAGTAATGCTTTAGAGAGCCTTACTCACCTCTACTTCCCTTTCTAAAATGAGTGAGAATTTGACTTTCTGTTGGTTCCTACAATAAGATATAGATACATTTCACAGAGTTGGCTAAGTGTTTAAAAATGGACTTTCAGTGGTATGAATTTAAAAAGGTCAGTATGTTTTCACTGGTAGTTCAGCTGAATGCATCATCTTACCCCAGAGCAGTGCTAAAATCAAGTCTGGTTCCTTTGACTGGTAGAAACTCTTATAAGTACTGTTGTTGAAGGTTGCTGCAGTTGTACAAAAGTGTAGTTTGGCTTCATGTAAGGAATTGGAGCTCTTGAGGTGGCAGGCAAAAAAGCCTCAGTCTTATGTAATTTACAGAATATATCAGTTGGTTTTGGTTGTTGTGGTAATAGTTTTCTGTTTTTGTGTTTTCCACAAAAGCAAATTTTCTGCTTTTCCTGGAATTCTTGCATTGCTGTGGTAATGAAAGATGATTTGTGGAGAGAAGATGATTTTAATTTAGTGATGTGAAGGCCTGTTTTTTGTTAACGGCCCAGTAACTCAAATGTGTGATGAGTTAGATCATGCATGCATTATTTTTTGTTAAATTCTAACATATTCTGAAATCTCCTTCACTTAAGGGGCTGGAAAAATTCCCTTGAATTTTTTGGACTTCTAATGGGATCCACAGCAGTAATGTGAAAACACAGCTTTCCTTTAGTAAGGAATGTTTGTAATTTAAAGGGAATAATTTTTAAATGTTGAGGTGAACAAAGCCTCTCTGTCTTCTCTAAATTGAAAACTGGGAATGCAAAAAGTACATTATCCTTTCTTTGCAGGTCAGTATCTATAGCGTCTTGGAGTAGGACCCTTGCATAATCTATAATATTTCTGAGTGAGTTTTTGGTTGAGGTTGCAGAGTACACAGTAAGAATACAGGTCTCTGCAGTGAGCCCAGAGAAGATAAACCATAACCCATTGGCCATTTTCTGTCTTGCGCTGAAACTGGTGCCCTGTTTCTGCTAGGTTTAAAACCAAATAGCGGGGGGGGAGGGCGGGGCAGAAAAGAAGTGTTTTGTTGGGGTTTGGATGTGGTGTTGGGTTTTGGGGTTTTGGGGGGGGGGTTTGCTTGGTGTGGCTTTTGTGTGGGTTTTTGGTTTTTTGGTTTTTTTTTTTTTTTAAAGGAGGCTTAAATTAAGATGGATTTATTGCAAAGCAGTAAACTCTGTTGGAGTTCAGCTTTTACGATCAGATAGCAGTGGGTAGCTGCAGCTATCCTAGAGTCATACAAGGAAGCTACCCTGCAGCCTTCCAGGACTGGGCTAAGTCCCATTACTACCATCACAGGCAATCATGTGGTCAGTGGTTACTCCAGGAGGACCTGCAGTGTATCCATACCTTGCAGCATTTCCACGTACTCTAGTAGAAATGTGAGGGTGGGGGTTAGAACATTGGGGGTTGCAAAAAACGGACAAGAGTGACCTTGTTGAGAGGTGGGTGACATTGAATCAAATTCCCTGGTGGGGTGGCAGGGAAACCTAGAAGTAGCTGTTTGCCATGTCACAGAGGTGGGCAAAACTCCAGCTATCTTTACCAGCCTGACCTGGGGGAAAAGTCCTATCTCTTAAATCCATAATCTGGCCATGTGTTTTATCTTGTGTGTGTGTAAGATGCATTAACTAGCATCTCGGAGATTGCCATACTGCTGGAAGCCCACTCTGAGATCCTGTCTCCATGGCCGGCTGGCAGCCTGAGGTTGGGGAGGTGTCTTCTAGTGACCTTGACTGCAAGGTGGCTCAACTTCTTCGTGATTCCTTTCTTGGAGTGAGCTGAGCACTTTGAAATCAGTCTGGGTGTGCGTGTGGCTGAGATCCTGCAGATCCACCGTGACACACACAGAGCTGCACCAGCATTTCCTGAAAGTGCAGAGGAGCATGTGTAGGAGATGTGTGAACTGGTCCCAGCTGGTCTGGCAGAAAGATCAGCCCTGAGTGCGGTTTTGCAGCTTATCTGCAGGAGCCTAGGGAGAGGAGACCGCATCTCCCTGCCAAGTGCGGGGGCGGGGGGCTTTTGCAAGTAAATCTCAATGCTAATTCACCATCTTTCAGTTTCCTTGGGTGCTGTGGTTAATTGGAAACCCTCCTGGCTTCTTGCCATGCCTTTTCACTCCAGTTCTCCAGCCTGGCTCTCAGCTGCTGATTACTGACCACTGGACTGGCCTCTCCAAGCTGGGGTGGTGCTAGGGTCAGGCTGGGAAGACCTGTGCTCCAACCCAGACAGTCTGGGGTGTTCGTAGAGAGCATGGGGGTGAGGGTCGAAGGGGGCTGGATGGCTCTTAATCCAGTGGGCCTGAGCCTTGCCAAGGTGAATTTATGCTGGGGGAGAGAGCATGAGGCACCTTGGATGAAGAGGGGTAATGGAGGTGTCTATTCTGGATTCTCACCCATGGACCTGTCAGGACTCCATTCCTGAACACGAGTCTGGTTGGCTCCCTCCTCGCATTTGTTACGGCTTCAGCATGTCTTGCCTATTAGTGACACAGTGCTACAGGTTTTCCCTCGCACTTCTCTTGCTTAATAGCTAGTTACAATGGACCACTGCCGGTGGCTGCCAGTCACTTCTGTCTGGACCTTCTGTTGCAGGGTCCACAATGCTGTCCTAGGTGTATCCTGAGCATACGGATGAGCGTTTTTGCTGTGCTGGCAACAGAAATGCCTTCTTTTGATGAACTTAATCTTTTGAGCTCCCACATGAAGTAGGGCTGTGAGCTGTTTAGTTAGAGTCTGGCTGCAGCCCTCAGGAGACCCTGAAAATGATGAAGCGGGTGCTCATAGGATGCAGGCACATGGGGAGGCTTAGGAAGCACTGGAGCTACAGTTCTGAAAATATTAATGTAATCCAGAGGTGGGCCCTGTTGTTGGTTGGATGCCTTTGCTTTCCCTAGCTGGGTCTGCACTCCTGAGGAGCTCCCTCGAGAATGGTGGTTGTCACAGGTGGCTCCCAGGGCCACCTCTCTGGGCAGCTGGTGTGGAGCATCCAGTGATTGCCCTTGTGTGGGTAGAGCATGGGGTGCTGTGGAAGTTGGGTGAAGAGGAGGGGGATTTTCCTTGAGAGGCTTTGGGGTTTTGGCTGCTGGGGAAGATTGTCACAACTCTGTTCTCTATCTTTCTTAGTCTCGTATAGCGAAGCGAGGAAGGAAGCTTGTGGATTACGACAGTGCCAGACACCATTTTGAAGCCCTGCAAACGGCAAAGAAGAAGGATGAAACCAAGATTGCAAAGGTAAAGCAAGCAGAAGGATGTGCAGCCATCCTTTCATTTCATGAGGTCTGCATTTGCCTATTAGGCAGTTTTTAAGTGCACCTCTACTTCTTCATTGGGTGTGTTTTTGTTTGGAGAGGTGTTGTGAACTGGTGAAGTTTGGCTAGGTATTTCCTTCTCATTTGTTTAGTTCCAGAAAGCAGGATGGTCTCTGTTGTGTTGGTTCAGACTCACCATCATCAGTGAACATCTCTTGGCGGCCAAGGCTTAGGCATGCATTTCCTCAGATGCTGCAGGACCAGTAACCTCTGTCAGGAAAGCCGGTGTGCCTCTGGGGGAAGCAAAGCCTTGCAGTGCCCCGGCAAAATTTGCCAGTTTGTCTGCTTCTTGGGGCTCTGTCTCCCTATCTTATAGCAGTGGTGAGAGTAAGTGTTTGAGTGTTGCTTGAGGTTGGTTGTGTTTGTGAAATCCTCTGGTATTCGAAGACGGAGACCCTTAGGAGCGTGAATTACAAGTTCATTGGTGGAAATGCACCCTATGCACGCTTGATGACTGTGTTCGTTGTCTGTCGGTCACAATTACTGGACAATAAATAGGGCTGAAAGCAGGAAAACAAGAGTTTTCTCTTGTCAGGGTGTGGTTTCTTTGATGCCTGTGAACAGCTTGATCTAGGATTAACCCCCGAGCATGCCCAACATGCAAGTGCAGGATTTTTTTTAATTAAAATAGATGTCATTAAAAATAAAATTTACATTTTCTTTTAAATGTAGCTGAAGGAAGGTGATAGTGCTAACCTTATTCTAGAGGAGGCGCACGGTTCGAATACCTGTCCAGAAAATAAGCTGTGGATTACTCCTGTACCCTGAGTGGATTTGAACCCATGTGCTCCACTCCACAGGACAGGTCTTGACACAACAGAATAGTCCAGGGCTGGGGAGACGTCTTTAATTTCTTGAATGTGGGCCATGGCACTTCAGGACTCTTCAGGCTAGAAGCAGTGTAGGAAAGAGCCTGGATCTGTATCTTTTAGCCAGGCTGAGAAGAGTTGTCATTCTTTGCTTAGAGTTATTTCTGGCAGGGGGAAATCTGGGCTATGTGAGAGATGCTGGTGTTTCTTCTGCATGGAAGAAATAAAGATGCATGTCTCCCCCGAGCGAAAGATCTGCATTTAATGGCCAACTGACAGTACTTTTATTTTTAAGCTGCAAGTCATCAGTCGTCTGCTCACCCAGTGCATGCGCTGTGATTAACCTTAACAGACAAAAGGGAGAGAGATTGATGGTTCAGGTGTCATTGCATCATTTGTGTGGCAAGGCAAGTCTTGGTTCTGTATGCAAGGCATGAGGCCCTGCTGGTTGTGCCTTCTGTTCAAAGCAGTGCTTCACTGTGTTTGGGGGTAAGAGCAGAATTTCCCTGGGGCGTGGTACTATTATTGGTATGTGCCTGTGGGATCTTTGCTGCAGTGGAAATGTTTTTTGTAGGAATTAATCTACTCAGGTTGGTACCTGGTGATCTGCACCAAAGAGGCTGGCCTTTGCCATTGCTGCACTTGCTCATGTTGCCCCAAATGCTCACGTAAGACATTATTAACACAGGATTGTTTGTTTCTCTTCTGTTAAGGTATGAAGAACAGCCCAGTTTGAAGAGTGAAATGTTGAGATTTAGGAGTTGTGTGTTCCTGATTCAGCCTGTGCGAGTGTGTCTTGGTACTTAATTGGACTCTTGTCATGAGCCAAAATGGGCACTGGATCACATCTTTCCAACCTGTGTGCTTTAGGTCATGCTCATGCATGGGATGATATGTGACACAACGCACTGTCCTGACCCTGTAAAGATGGGAGCAGTGCGTCCCCAAAAGTTATGTACATATGCTCTTCGCAAATGGGCAGCTTTCACAGCCCAGCCAGTGATCCCACACTTGCAGTCACACAGCTCTGCAGGGCTGTGGGCAGCAGCCAGGGCTCAGCGTGCACTAGGCTGATGTAGGAAGTCCACCTCTCCATTCCTGTGACTCCGATTTTGTTCATGTGACCTTTGAAGTAGGGTTGTTCTGGTGTAAGGTACTTTGGAATATGATGACAGGCCCCTAGGAAAGAGAAGTCTTGTTTATGACACAGCATACAAATGGGAGCTGACTTGATTGATGCTTCATGGTATAGTAACACAAACAGGAGTGTGAATACTTTTTGGAGCTATACGGTCTCTTTTTTTCTTCTCTAATATATGGATGTTCTTTCCCACTCAGGACTCCTGCCACTTATTGCTAAACTCACAACTCGCCATTAAAATAAGGCACTGTGGACTTTCAGCTGTTGCATGAAAATAATTACGGTAGTTAATTAATCCTGACCTCTCTTTAAGGAGCTCTCACTTCACAGCCATGACTTGGAGTAGGGTTGTCTGTGTGCTAGGTCACTAACAACTGTATCTGTTGCTCTTTGCAGCTGCCTGGCTGGTCTGCAGTATCCCAGCCTACACTGGAGCATTAATTACTGCTAAACTTGGCATGCTTCGAAGGATTCATAACTGATTAGTCCCAGGATGTTTGTTTTTTCTCTCGCCTTGGTGATGCTGGTTTGGCCCAGCCTCTAAATACACTCTCTGTTGTGATTTTGATTTTTTTATCCTAAAAGATATATGTTTGTGTCTCTCTTGTTCTCTGTTTTTTTTCTCTTCTCACTCAAACATGCTCCCTCCCCCCAGCCTGTTTCGCTGCTTGAGAAAGCTGCGCCTCAGTGGTGTCAAGGGAAGCTACAAGCTCACCTCGTTGCGCAAACTAATCTGCTCCGAAATCAGGTGACTGCTGATCTACCTGGCTCTAACCTTGCATGTGCTATTTTGGGCTCTAGATTGTACCATGCAACTAATCTCTAGGCAACGTTCACTCTAGTCCCCTCTGTTAAGTGTGTCCTTGATATTCCTGAGCCACAGTGGACAAGTGGAAGTTGCTGACCAATGAATGAATCTGTGCCTGCCCTATTGATTTCTAATCAGGTGTGTTAATACTGGGCTATTGTTTTCTCTCCCTAAAATGAAATGAGGATGAAGAAAGGCTGTGGAATAATGCCAAGGCAGAGGCGGATGTAGTGTCGTTCCTCCAATTATTCCTTTCTTTTTCTTCTGTAGTAGTCAATTTTTATTGTTGCTGTTTAAAAAAAAAAAAGCAAACCACAAAACACACACACAAAAAAAAAAATTGGAAAAATTGGCTTCTGCATTTCTGCTGTTGAGTAAAGCCAGAAAAAACCACATTGCTTCAAAAGCAATTTCTATGGCTGCTGTGTTAAGTTGTAACATTCTCCCATGATAAAATCCAGGTTCCCAAAAGGGCACTGTCCTGGCTCTTGTGGTCTAAATGAGCTGTTTCCAGGTGTACAGAGGTTCAGTCTGCATAGGAGAAGAGGTGGGCCCAGAGCAGGGAATTTGCACCCCATGTAATATATTTGAACAGCTCCAGGTTGAGGTCATGGTTGCATCATGTGGCAGAACTTGGCGGAACATTTAGATTATAGCATCTTGAGGGACATGAGAGCAGCTCAGAGAAACTGCAGGGACTAAGAACTTCAATTCTACTTGCACAGGAGAAATGTGGCTTCCTGATGAAATCTCCCTTGGCATTTATCTTGGAGGTCCTTGAGGGGTAAGAGGGAGCTGACAGAAAACAGTCAGTGAGAAGAAAATGCTGTCAATGGGCAAGGCATAGTAAATCATTACCTAAGCTGGGAGAGAGCCAGTTACCTGCCTGGTGAGCTCATCTGTTCTCATTCAAACGCTCCTATGTTTTCACATTCCTTGTCAGTGAATGAATTGCAGTTTAGAAATGCTAAATCACTCTCACCTTATGAAGCACCTGGGCTTTTCCACAGTCAGTTTATGACTGCAGATCAGGGAAAAGACTAGATTACCACATCAAGGAGGCCTGGGGAAAGAACAGCTGTTAGTAATCCTGCTTAAGATGCATAGCAAAGGGAGGAAATATTTATTCATTCTTGATTGAAGGGAGAAGGACATTTGGCAGGCTTCCGGGGGCTTTTCCTGTGCCTCCGCTGTGCTGCCAATGATCTGCGTCCTTGTGGTACTTGACTGGTCTGTTTGGCTGTTGGTATTTCTGGAGGACTAGAAAGCAGGTATGGGAAATTTCTCAAGCCGCAAATAAATAAATCAGCTCTTGGGCATTTTTTGTATTCTCAGACTGGCTGGGGTGACTGAGAATAATACCACCGCCCACAGATTGCCTAGAGACTACGAGTGCTCCCTCATCCATTGCACTCTGATCTTAGGCTACCAAGAGTTGATCCATAATTTCACTGTACTGGGTGACTTTGCCCTAAAGCAGGTGGCAAGGGGGTAAGTAATCTTTCCACCTGCTGTGTTGCAGGGGTGTTAACCTCCTGCTAAGTGACATTAATATTTTCAGTCACCCCAGATATTTTCAAATCAACATAAGTCCTCTTTTAAGTTTTACCTCTTTCATTCTTGAACTAAATAATACTAATGCCAATCTTAATTTTTTGTTTCTACTTCTGTGAGTCTGGTTTTGGGTGGTTTTTTTGCTTGTGGGTGGGTTTTTTTAAATTTCGATTGGGGACTAACAAAAAAAAAAAAATCTCAATAAAGAAGGCTAGTTTGTATTCTGAACCTGTAGGTTTTCCAGCTTTTCTTCACAAACATGAGCAGGCAGGGAAAAAAAAGGCTTCAGTTTTTATATTTGCATGACTTCAAGACTGAAGGTGTTACTGACAACCCTAAATCTCATTTAAGCTCTTGATAAAAGTGGGAAGGCTGATGACACTGCATTTATTGAAGATCTTCAGAATGTTAAGCCTAAAAAAAAACCCAAACCAGTCCTTCCCTTACCAGCAGCTGTGTTCCTGTCTCTTCTTGCCTGATACTTTTAAAACCTCCAAGCGAAAATGGGGTCAGCAAGACCTATTATTTGTACTGTAAACCCAAGTCCCTCCCTCCGTTGTGCAAACTGCTGGCTTTGTGTAGACCTTTAGCAGATACTAACAAAAACAGTACAGTGGGGGTTTTCTGTGAAGTCTCCTAGGGGGCTTGCTATTGCACGCTCTCAGTTACAAATTTTTGGTGACTGTGCATTTTGAAACAAAAGGGAAAATGGAGCAGAACAGCACATTCTTGCCTTTTTGCTAAGCTGCTCTGAAATGCTGAATATAGTGTAAAAAGCAACATCCTTGGTGCTGCAGTGATAACAGAACGATAGCTCTGCCTGCAGGAGAAAGCCAGAAGGTTGAGTCCCGGGCCATGCTGCCCTTCTGAGAGGCAGGTCTGGCTGGGACCAGTGGGGGCTTGGCCCTGGGCTGGGGTGCCCAGCTCTCCTTCTTACCCCTGCCTCATGGATGTCTTAGCCTATTTACAGAGTAGTGTGCAATTACCACGGTTCACAGCATAGTGTTTGAAGTGGTCACCAGATTGCCTGAAAGCACCAGGCTGGATATTGCCAAACACTCGTGAGTTGCTGAGATGCATGATGGTAGGAGACGTAATGGGAAACAACCCCCTGCCCCCGGCCCCATCACAACTGAGCTGGTTGTGCTTGGCACTCTGAGCCTTGGCTAGGGGGAAGGTCAGGAAGGCATTTGTGTTGTCCAGCTCCTGCTCAAACCTTCCCCTTTTCAGGCAGGGAGAGGAGAGGAGGAATTTTCTGAGATCATATTTCATGGGCCTGAGCATTAGGTCTTCCTGCCTCAGTTCTCTGTCAGGTTGGTAAGGATGACAGCTGAAATAAAAAGTGCACAGATATGGCAGCAATGGGCTCTGTCCCTGAAACCTGTGTCTTTCCTCCTTTCCCCACAGTACTGCATGAGCTGGCTTTTCTTTAGCAGGGCTCATGACCAAGTTGATGTCTGTCTTTGGCTCTGGCTGGAAGCAGTCAGGGCTATCTGGTATCAGGACCCCTGCTTCCAAGCAAAATAAATCCCAGTGGTGAGAAGATCCTTGGGCTGACAAAGGAGTGAAGAGTTAATTCAATGGGACTGAGAGCACTAGCTGAGCCACAGGCGCTAGATTGATCCTGGACTCCTACAGCTACTCTAGAGTGAACGTTGCCTGTTGCTGATTTTGCCTTTGCCTCGGGATGTTGCAATATTCACACGTTGCTTTCTAGGTTCTTTGACCTTCTGAACAGGTAAACAAGAGAGGGAAAGGCTGTTATCAATATTCACCGTATCTGAAAAACTAACAGCATTCAATGGTGCCTCATCTCCCAGCTATCTCATCTCCTGGGTTGATTCTGGTCCCAGTCTAGTTTGGAAATTAGAGTAAGGTAAAGCCAAAGGATGGACTGGGACTTCTTTTCTCCCTTTAAAATGGTTACATTAGAAACATTCATTCGTAGAGGGACTTTAAGGCAGAATGAGTCTTTGTGATGATCGTCTCTGATCCAGCATAAACTGTGTCTCTGTTTAAATGGACTTTTTGTTTGTTTTGTGCAAACTCTCTGAAAATGTTGGGTTTTTCAGTGAGTGTAGCAGCAAAATACAGGGATTTCTGGGTGGAAGCATCATGGCCCCTTCTCCCCTTGCCTTCCTCACAAGGTCTGCTTAACTTTTGAATACCTCCCGGTTGTGTCGTCTTCTGGGGGAAACTTTCTTTTCTGATCTTGAGTACAAAGTCTTAGCCTTGCCTTTGGCAGCAATGAGCAACCCTCTGAAAGGTGGAGCTATCTGTAAAGTAGGAGCTTCTGCAGCTTGCTTATAAGTCAGGAGAGAAATGGAGAGTGTAAGGATCCTACACAACACTGTGAGGAACAGGACTCTGAACTGCAAAATATTTTTAAGTCCTTTCTCCCATCAATCCTGTCTTTGCATATACCTGTCACTAAGGAGCAGTAAGCTGGATTTCTTTAAGCTGGCACGAAGAAGATAAAACTTCATTTCACAGAAGGGATAAGAATCTGACTGCAGGCTCATAGAGAGATCCAGTTCCCCAGTAGCTTGTGGGCTCTTTGCAGAGCACTGTGGTGTTGTGACATTCATGCTGTTGTCACATGAATAAGTAGGCACTTGTGCTGACCGTCCTGTTAAGATGTGTCGACAAGATGCTCATGCAGGAATTTGCCATTCTGCATCCCACTGCATGGGGTTATGGGAGAATGCTGTGCTCTTGCAAATTACAGAATAGAAACATTTTAATTAGCAAGCTTTGAGTTTTAAGTCAGGGCACTGAAAAGAGGAAGAGGTCACCTAGGACAAATATGGGAAGGGGAATGTGGTTGTTGCTGGTGTCTGCTGTCAGCAACATCCTTTTTGTCACTGAAACCCAGCAGAATTCATGTATCAGTGTTGGGGTCTGTCAGTGTCTAGGTCAAATGAACAGGTCAAATTTAAACTCTCAACTGGAGGAAAGAGGTCCTGTACAAGGCATATTTCCTTTGGCGTTGGTGGCCAACAGCCAGCCAGGGATTGCTCTTGTATTAGATCCTTACCGACGAGAGTATGTGAGACCGCTGAAACCAAGACCTGCTGCTTAAGCACTCCAGCCTGGCCTTCTGCTGGTGTACAACTCATGCTTTGCATACCCTTCCTTGCTTCTCCAGTCAGCTTTGTGAGACAGCTGTATCAGCCAAGGATGCAGACCTCCTCCCTTCTTCAGAAGACATGGGGCTTTGGCATGACCTTACCCAAGCAGAGAGATTCCCCGCTAGGGAGGATTCTTCTTCAGTGCCATTTGGGATGGATTTCAACTCCTTCAGAGACCTGGCAAGGGGCAGGGGCCACTATTATCTTCATCTAGATCCAAGCTGCACGCTGAACTGCCTGACTAGTTCCATTCAGTTTTTGAAGCCAGGGAAACTTCCAGAACCTAAAACACATTAGTGGGTGTTTGAATTACTTTCTGAGTATCCAGACAGGGAAATCTATTGAGAGAAAACATGAGAGTAACATATGCAAGCTGAAGGGGCATCAGGTCACTTGTGATGCAACCCTCGTTCCTGGGAGACTCATTTGGGATGGAGATTACCCCATGCCAGAATTTTGCCTGGTTTCCCAAGAAGTTAAAAGAGTCACAGTTGTCCTAGCCCTGCAGGGTTCTTGTCTGCGCTGGAGCTGACAATCTCTATTCTCTGTTATTAAGGCTGAAGAAGAGTTAGTAAAGGCTCAGAAGGTGTTTGAAGAGATGAACGTTGATCTTCAGGAGGAGCTGCCTTCACTATGGAATAGGTGAGTGCTGAAAGTTTCCCAAGGGCTAGTTGGAAGGAAGCTGTTCTCCTTAGCTTGGGCTGGGTGTCTGCTCTTGTTTTCTGGATCACCTCAGAGAGTCTGTCCTAGGATTCCCCCCAGCCAGGTTCACCCTTGTCTTTCTGTGCTTTGCTTCATGATCCTCATGAAAAACTCGATTTTACCACAGAGAGAAACTGTTTCTATGCTTTGTCTGATTAATCCCTTTGCCCCACCAACTCTGCCCGCCTTTCCTGGGCAATGGCCCAGCTTCTGCTGTGGACAGCAAACAGAGCAGGCTGGGTCACTAAGATTTTGGGTGTGGAGCTGGCTGGCTGGAAGGAACGTCTGCAGCTGAGTGGGTATGTCAGCTGACTGATCAAGGGAAGACAAGATGTCAGAGGGGTTGGAGAGAGCCAAGAGTTGATGCCTTGATTGCTGTGTCTTGTCATGCAAGCTTATGAGCACCTGGTGAAGCAGCAGGTTTAGCATGAGGGAGCACGAGTGGACAGGTTGCTCTGCTTTGGCTGCCACTTTCAGGTTTGGGCAGTTGGGTGAACAAAGATGAGGGAAGGATCCTGGTGTAGCTGCCTTCTCTTGCCCCTAAATATGTTCCTGGCTATGTGACACAGGACCCAGTGAGACACTAGTGGTTACAACTGTCCTGTTGTGCTCTATTTAACATAACATAGCCTGGGCAAAGGAAAATGGGCTGAGAGAATAGGAAGACTTGAGAGACCATGCATTTGCCATACCAGTGATTATGGTGATGAAAAGGGAGGAGAAGGAAACAGACCAACATTTAGCTTGGAGGATGAACTGGAGGGTGGCAGAAGCTGATGCATAGGGAGGGCACAGTGAAAAGCAGGCAAAATCCTCCTAGGAGTGTCCCAGTTTTGTATTTTTAAATGCAGTGATGACATCTGGGTTGGCAGTGCTGGTCTGTGGGGGATGGAAAGA